AAGAAAATTTCATAACTTAGAAAAATTCTAAGTTATGAAATTTTTCAACTTTAAACCCTAATTTGCAATTTTGGGTTTCTTGATGAACAAGTTTCATATTTTGACACATCTTGATGAAAAATGACCCTTGGCACTTGTTTTTGACCAAAAAGTCAAAGCTTGACTTTTCAGTGTACAGTCAAATTCTGATCAGTTGACTGAAAAATTCATCTGTCAATCCAATGCAATTGAGGTCTTTTGAACTTGTTAAATAGGTCAAGATGATTTCATTGAGTCCTTGAGTCCATGGTTGAGCCTAATTTTCCATTGTCTAGGTCAAAAAGCCAGAAATTGCCTTTGTACAGTCAAAACCCTAAAAATGACCATTTTGCCCTTTTGGTGATCTATCAAATTTCTTGTGGAGTTGTGGTCCAAACTTGATCAAATGATTCATATGAGTTCATAATGTTGATGTGGGTCAAAATTCATGAGGTTTGACTGTAAATTAGCCACAATTGACTTTTTCCCCAATACAGTTGATTTCTAGGTCAATTGTCCAATTGACTAGGCAAAAATTTGATTCAAGGCTTGAAACTTGGTATGGACAAACTTACGAGTCCAATATGAAGTATGAAAGTCAATTTAAGCATTGAAGGTCCAAAAATCTTTGTGCAAACTCAAACCCTAATTTAGGTCAATAGTGCAAGGAGATGTCTTGAGCAGAGCAAACCCTAGCTTGGTCTTGAGTTTAATGAGCCTTGTGATAAAAAAATGTTGATAAAATGAGAGGGAAAATTTTGGGGTACAACAATAGTGAAGTGAGATATTTTCCACTTGGGTGTTGAGTGAGGCATTGCTGATTTTAAAACCCAAGCCATTATCCTCCACTTTGAGATGACGCAAATTCTCCTTTCTCATGTTTGTGGGTAGTAAGTATGTTTTCCACACGGACAATGACGATGATGTCTTATCTCTTAAAATTAACCAACACACTTATGTTTCAAATTTTTAAAAGAGGAACTACGTGTATCTTGATCCCCTATTGTACGAAAGGTGGTACGTAGACACTAAAGGTTCGCAACCGCGGCGGGCGCAAAAATCATTAAAAAAAATACTTATTTTCTCACCTCCACTATCCATTTTATATACAACACATTTTTATAGCCAAAATATACAGATTTTACAAAGAGGTTCCTGCGGAGTACCATAGATGTTTAGGGTGCTAATACCTTCCCTTTGCATAACCAACCTCCTTACCTTGAATCTTTCCCCCTTTTTTGGGTTATTCGCTCTTTTCTCATTCTTTTGGAAACAATAAAGCGCGGTGACAATTTTTATTTTGATTTGTATAAAGTCTAGTCAATCCAATGACTTAGTCTTGAATATTTCTACCGCTACACCATGGAGTGAATGTGCCAAAATTTCATTTTCATTGAAATTTTGGTGGCCGAGAAAATAACGTATTCATCTCTGGTGAAAATCACGGGAGATGTCATGATGCAAATAACAAAGAGAAAATAAGAAGAGAATGTGAGAAAATGTAAAGAATGATGGAGAAATTAGTGTTTTATTTATAGAAAATACAATTGCACGTAGTAGCCATCTCTGATGGCACTTCCTCCCCTTTTTATAGTGCATGCATCATCTGACATGCCTAAAACAAAATGTATGCGCCAAGTGAATTGACGCCTAAGACAAAAAGATTATTGCATGCGTCAAGTGAGATGACGTCTCTATTATTATATATTTCAAAAAATAATTATTTATGTAATTTTTTTCGAAACATAATTATTTATGTATTTTTTTTAATATTTAATTATTACTTTAAAAAAATTCACTTTGAACATCCTCAATATATTATTCTGCACCCTTAATTTTGCTTGTGCACCGCTAACTTTATTTTAGAAAAATTTAAACCTATATGACTGACATATCTCTAAGTACAAACCTAGATTTTAAGATGTAGCTCTTTCAGCCTATTATTTTATTTTCATCATTTATTATTATTAACTAATTTTATTAAATATTTTATGAAAACTATAAATTCTCAACAAAAAAGCATCACGAGGAGTTGATACTTTTACCACTTCTTGATAGACAACAGTAAACTAAATCACTTAACTAACATTATATCTATAAAATTAAACTAAATATATGATTAATATTTTATATGATATTATGTGATAAATACACAGTTAATTAATTGATTGTTCTATTTTATTTAGAGGTTAAGCTAACATGTCCCTAAGGACATAGATTAAGAAATCTAAACATGACAAGTTTTTAGACTGTATTCTAATCGATTAAACTTTAGAGCTAATTGATTTGATATGTTTAAAATTGAAATTTTATGCGTTCTAATCGATTAGACATAGGATTTAATCGATTAGAAATTCAAAAAAATTAAAATGTTTCTCAAACTAATCAGAAATTTTTTTGCATTAAAGACCTAATCGATTAGATCGTCTTTTAATCGATTAGACATGTTACTATAAATAACAAACATGTAGAGATGATTTGAAGTCGGTAAGAATGTTTTACGTCAATCTCTAGTGCAAAGATGTGGTAATCACGTCTGAAGTACGTAAAATATTAATTTCTATCAACATTGAGAAATTTGCAAATTGTTGTTATTTACCCTTCTTTGGCACTCCTTACTCTTCTCAGTCCCCAAGTACTATTAAAAATTTTAATTTTTTCTCTTCTACTCAATCTCATATAATTGACCCAATAATAGATTATAAATTACCTCTCAATGTGGGATTTATGACTCCGAACTGTCGACTCATTTAATATGTGGCAACCCATATTTTAGTCCCAAGAAAATTTAACCTCTAACGGTTGTCAAAATATGATGTTGCGCCCACATAGTTGCTTTCCCGCAATGTTGAGACCAATTGGGCCACTGGAGTAGTTCAACATATGTTGAATTACCAAAGAAAGGACAACATATGGTTACCATATAATGACTTGATTATGAAAGTTTTAATGCATGTTTGCTTCGATCTACATGAGGAAGAGTTAGCACATAGTTACACAATAATTGGTAAACATAGCTTGAGTCAGATGCTGATAAAAAATTAGGATGGAGTACTAGTGCATAATGTTCTTCCTAGAGTTGTAAGGTAGGCCTCTGAATCTTAGCAATATAAATTTCAGCAAGTAGGCCTTCAAATCAGAAATATTTTGATTATGAGATTCCTTTTCCTTCTTCTGGAGATATGTTCAACACTATCCTGGCCAACACTCAAGAGAGTAATAAAAGACATGAAGAGAGTAAAAAAAGTCAAGATGAGAAATCAAGGACTCTAAATCAAATGGTTGCTCATATTACTTTCATTGCAAATCACATAGCCAACATCGAAGTACTTATTCTTTGTTAGACTGTTTGTCGATGATAATGATGAAAATAGTCTTTAACTTATTTCTCGTTCTTTGTTTTTTTTTTTTTTGTGCACATTTTATGTTCTTTTCCTTCGATCTGTAACTCCTTTTTTTCTATAATAAATGAATATTGTTTTCTCGATTATCTTCTATGAGTATATGTATGTTGGGTGAAAATACGGTGTAAGAAAATAGTCTAGAGGAGATGAATAGACTTTTAAAAAACAAATCAACTGATTCTTTGAAAATGTATGTTTGAAAATCAACAGTCTAGAGGAGACATCTGACAAGAAGAGGTAACTTACCCCACAAATAAAGAGCTTACGGAAATAAAAGAAATGACTCACCCCAAATTGAGAAATTCGCATCTCATTCAAAAGGTCGTCTTTAGTTGAGGAATTCGTCCTAAACTGGAGGACTTGTCTCCCATTAAAAAAGTCGCCTTCAACTGAGGGACTCACCCTAAACTAAGGGACTCGCCTCCCATTAAAAATGTCGCATTCAACTGAGGGACTCGCCACCTATTAAAAATATTGTCTTCAACTGATAAACTTGCCTCAGATTAAAAGAATTGCCCTCAACTGTAGAACAGAACCCAAAAGAAGCCTTTAAACACCCTGCCTTTTGCAAGCTCATGTACTTGAAAGACTGTGTAGTATTATTATATTTGTGATAATCTTAAACGGAGGCGTCATTTTTTTTCCACATTATTACTGTGAATTTTGCTTCTTTCTACGTAGGTTCTTTCTGCATTGTCAACTTATACTACAATTTTTTATAGTAGAAATTAAGAATGCAATATAAGAAAATTTATCAAAGCATGTCAACCATTGCTAAAAAAAATTCGCATACACACTAAAGTATATAACTTAATGATAATGTTTGAGTCAATATGATATCTTATTATAAACAAACACATCAAGCTTTTTTAACTGAAAATGTAGTTTGTCAAAGCTAATTAAAGGCCACTTTATTTCAGCTTTAAAAAGAATAGATTTTTCTTTGTATTTTTAAAATTAGATTTTACAAAATCGTTTTTTAAAATATTACAAATAAATTTATATTCATTCTATCTAAATTAAAATAGTAAGTTTAACATCCTATAACATAAACATATATTATTGAAGATCAAAACATAATCAAAATCACAATTTTTTCAAAAAATTGTATTTCAAAAATGATTTTTATAAAAATCTATTTGAAATAATTTCAAAATTAAGTGATTTTTTAAAATTTTGATATCTAAGAAAAGTTTCAATACCATGAAATACCTAAAAGAACATTTTAAAAATATTTATTCTAAATCGAATTTTCATTTGAAAAGTAAGAAAATATATTACTGTGTATGTATAGATCAAAGAAAGAATTTCTAAATACTAGTAAAAAAATTGTCTCCACACCAACTATAAATGTCAATTTCAAGGGATCAAAATTACAATAGATGCTCTAACTATTTTCCAGGCATTAAAATACAATAGACTCTTGCACAATAGATTTAACATTAGAAGTTTCCTACAATTAAAATACAATAAACAAAACAGAAGATGTGGAGTGTACTCATTCTTGCACAATAAATTTAACAATAGGAGTTTCCTACACTTCTGTGCACTAAGAAAAAAAGTCTTCATTCAGATGGATCATAACTTGTAAACCGGTTCAATTCCGAGGAGATAGAAGCAGTGTCTCATCACAACAAGTGTTGCTTCACATAACAAAAGTCTGCTGGTTTCCTCAGGTGACCCAACAACCTGGCAAACGCATTCTCATTAATACACAGTAAATATGATCATAGGAAAGACAGAAAATTTTATAGCTTTTGATACCTGACAATTAGAATAAAATTTCTTTGTGAAGATCTCGGACAAATTATATAGGTATTCACATAATACGTTTGGTAACAGATTTGCGCATGACTCCACAAAAACCTGAAAAGATAAAACACTCTACCTCAGTACAACTGTAACATGCAAAGCAATAGTCTAGAGAGAAAATGTTTCACTCTACCTCAGTAAATTGTAGCAAATGAAGACCCAACGTACGCTCGTCTTCATGATCCAACACCAAATTCCCATTCTGTCACGAGTTGGTAAACAAGATATGAATCATATAAAATTTGAACCAGTTGAGACATATCAAAATCAAAATAGATGATACAACATTAGGCATTAAGCATATGATAAATTGTTTTTTCAAAAGATCTAAGGTCATGATCATGGAAATAAGAACTTACCTTTTTTAGCTCTTCTATGTCTTTACCAGATTTCCTGATAATGGAACAGATCCTAGCATGTGCATACAGCAAATAAACAGCAGTATTTCCCTGTTGGATAAAAAGCTTAGAAATGTATGATATTTATTTATTTATATCTGGACATTTGTTGGTTTCATGGGTGATGAAGAAAGGGCTCAACATTTGTTATAGCAGTTCTGACAACAATTGTAATTTGCAAAGTTGAAAGTGTAATTTGTTAATCATTATATGCACCTTATCATTAAGCATCTGATCAAAGTTGAAAGTGTAATTTGTCAATCTATTGATCTTCAAGTCAGCGTATCTGCAAACACATCATAAGCATGAACATAATATATGGGCGACAATTCTACAGCTCATTCAACATTCCAAAAACAGAAGCATATGCAGACAACAGAATTGTCGTAAAATCAAACCACAATAATATGATATGTAGAGTCATTTGATACAAAAAGCAATCCTGATAAATGGAAACATTTAGCATGAGGGAAAAAAAACAAGCAACCCATGCTTCAGCTTTTACTACCATTGTCCCTTAAATATAAACCCTCTTGGAAAGAAAAAAAGGATCTCTAAATATAAGCTCACTTCAAACTACTATATATGTTCATTTATTTATTTTTCAAATATATACATTTATTAATTTTTCAAATATACCCATAATTAATATTACTAAATGTCTTCGCAGAAGGAGAAGAGTTGAACACATTCATATACAAAATGGTATTTTGGGAACCTCCATACATAAATAGACACAATAAATTTATGAATTACCTAATTTTTTCAAAATAAATGTGAAATTGGCAAAAAAGGGCTTATAATATGGAACAACGGTAGTATCTAATTAAACTAATTGCCGGTTAGAAAATCTGGTTTACCTAAATAGTAGTTAGAACACATCCATATACAAAAGGGTATTTTGGGAACCTCCATACATAAATAGACACATTGAAGTACCTATTTTTTTCAAATATTTGTGAAATAAGCAGAGGGGGCTTATAATAAAGAACAGTGGTAGTATCTAATTAAACTAATTGCCAGTTAGAAAATCTTGTTTAACTAAATAGTAGTTAGAACATATATTCTAAACCTCCATAAAATTAAGTACATATCAACCAGATTCAGAATATTAGAGCAGAATGAAAAGCAAGACATGAACTTTTAAAATTCAGTAAACAGGAAATTGTAAGACAATACATCTGGTTCCACTTTTAACTCAATATTTGTATGTCTAAAATTAAGCTAACTATATACTATTGCTGGAAAGCATGTTGACTGTTATACTTTAAATATGTGAAAATATTATAGAGATAAAGAACTCACTTAACAGCCCCATATCCAATTGCCTCTGATGTTTTCTCAATCTCTTTCTCTGTCCATTCTTTAGCATTATCTAAATGTTATATAATTTAGAAGGTTAACTGTCTAGTTGATAATATCAGATTAATAGATCTTAAACAAACAGAAACATCACTTCATTAATTCTGGCTTGCATAAAGGAATAAATAAGAATTGCAATAAGTAACTGGTACTTTACCACGTTCAAGAAGGGCAACTTTACAGCGCCTTTTAGCTTCATCAAGTAAATCAACCAGTCGAACGACCTCGCTGCTGCGAGTCCGAAATCGTTTTCCATCATCACCAAGAACAAGACCAAAACCTACATGAGTGCATTTTGGATATTCATTTGAATCCTTTGGAAGCCACCCAGCACGTTTAAAGGCCTAATAAATCAAAAGGAGTGTCATACATTTGAACTCAATGGAATATTAGCAGTAGCACTACCAATAATATTAGTCAATTGGGACATACCTTAAAAAGCATGTCAAAATGTTGCGCCTGACCAACATCTGTAACATATATATTCCAATCAAGCTTTTCGACATTCAGACGATACCTACAAGGTTCAAGTGGCTAAGGTAAACCAAAACAGTTTATTTTCCACAGTAGATCTATTTCATTGGTATATACTCAGATAAAACTTAAAGACAAATAGAAACATGATAACAAAATTTAAATAAAAAACAGTGTATGTATACAAAGAGTCACAAAGCCTGTCTTGCTATTGAAATACCCTTTGGCTTTTACCTAACCTACTCTCATTGTCTTCTTTATGGTACTTATATATGTCTTCAACTTCAATACCCAAAACATGGTGTGCGACATGACATTCAAGATAAAACTAATTTGATATTGATAACTGAATTCAAATATTAATGCGACATCACAATTTTCAAGATATCCAAAAAACTAAAACTGACCATAGTGATGCTAGATCGGTTGTAAAGTAGTTGAAGCCGCCATCTCTTTTCACAGCAATTAGTGGTATGTCTACACCCTCAACAAATATCACACGAGCCCCTTCACTGTCTTCAATAAGCCCTAATTTCTCCAGTTTCTCCAAAGTTGGAGGGATTAACGGATTAAAGAAGCTCTCTGCCTATGACCAAATACATCACCAAACAGTACAAAGCAAAACATGTCACCATTATTCAATAAAAATAAATAACTATAATCACTGCAACATAAATTCAAGATATTATCAATTTATTCTACATTGTGGACGCGTTAACAATTTCTTTTAAGCTGCAAATCTATAATTGTTACGGTAATAGCTGTGTACATGACGTCAATAAATTCAGTCTAGTGGAACTGAGAAAAACACTCAAACTGAAAAAACCAAAAAAGTTAGGAATGATCTAGATATCACAGTTTCCTAAAGCTAATTCAAACAACCAGCCAAATTAACTGACACAGCATAACAAGGAATAGGACAAGAAATTGGAATAAAAAACAGACAATTTTAATCTACTATAAAGAATATGGTAGATCTCGCTAAAACACAAGCCACAACACATAAAAGTCACACCAACAAAACCCAACACATATGGGGAAAGCATAGAATTCTAAGAGGCTCTACATTAAGTTAAAAGGAAGGGAAGAAATAAGAAATCCATCATGGGAGATACGAAAAAATAGAACCCTAACCATTTCCTCCAAATGAACTCCAAGGCAGAACATAGAATTCTAGGAGGCTATACGTGAAGTTAAAAGGAAGGGAAGAAATAAGAAATTCATCATGGGAAATAGGAAAAAATAGAATCCTAACCATTTCCTCCAAATGAACTCCAAGGCGTTGATAGACCTTGTTAAATTCAGTCCTACTGATTTCGCAAATTTGCTGCCATGCTGTGAGATACTTGGGATCCCCTCCCTGAAATCAAAATTCAGGCATATAAAAAATGTATAACCATTTCCTCATGATCTCGCAAATAGTGGGAAGAAAGAAGAAAATGGAGTAAAATTTACCTGGAGCTTGACCACTGACTGCTGCGCATTGAGCTTAAAATCAGGATCACTATCAAACCTCAATTTTGAGGCCTTATAGAATGCCTATAAATGCACAAACTCCAATAATTTCAGAATAACTAAAATGATTTTCTAGTGAAACTAAAAAAACAATGATAACATAAAACGTTATCCCAATAGACCAATAAAAATTACCATTTCAAGGTTGATAATTCATCTATCTAAAATTTATACAATTTGACACTGAAAACGATACTATTACTAGTATCTATAGTCAAACATAAGCCTGGATAATTATTTCTGAACTGAACTCACAACTTGATATCCTTATAATTAATAAAAAGTAGTAATAGAAGTGCTGAAATGATCTCAAAAAGCAAAAACTATTTTATGCTCAAAAGCCTATTCACATAGACAGTATAAAAGCAATACCTGCAACGAAAATCAATATCAACGCTATTTGCTGTCTTATGAGAAGATGACAACTTATATTATCCATGTCACATCTGAACTTAAATTACTGATAAAACGTATTATATACACCTACATAAGAAAACTATTACGTGGTTCATTTCCATATGTTATCTAACCTGTAGATCTCCGATATCAGATTCTTTAACTTCTTCTGGGTTCGGAAACTTCTCAAAGAGAAATGCGATCAGCATCCCGAACTGCAAAACCAAAGCATGGACTTTAAGTCATATGCTTCAATGCCAAAATGAGATTCTACATGATAGAATATTCTATAACTCAAGCAAATATATCCTAAATAAACATTGTTAATTTGGTGGCAATTGAAATAGTTCAATATCTAAACTATTTTCATTATGGGCAGATACAGCAGCATCTTAACTGTAGAAGGTTACATGACTTCATTTAATTTGGAGGAATGCAACTCATGAGCTTTGGTGAAAGCAGTAAAAAAAACTTGCATAAACCATTGGTCTCAAACACAACTTGAAGTTAAATGGTTATCGCAAAGGAATTACACAAAACCATGAGGTTATGAATACGGAAAACCATAACCCAGATACAAAAGGTTAAGAATAAAGAAAACCTAGCTTTGATAGTAACATAGCAATAAATTAGTCACAACAAATAGCATAAAAATTCAATGTTGGTTTAAACATAAATATATCAAAACATCGGGCACAAAATAGCATAGTTTACTTTAGAGACTAAACCTACCTGAGTGCCCCAGTCACCGATATGATTTCGGCGGATAAGACTTTCTGCCTTGCAATATTCAAGCATCCGTGCCAATGTGTCCCCAATAATTGTTGACCTCAAGTGACCAACATGCATTTCTTTTGCTATATTGGGAGAGGAAAAGTCAACCATAACCCTCTTGACCGGAAGTCGAGGTGCCCAGGAATCAATACCATCAGTAAGCACCTGTTGTACGCTCTGCAGGAGAAATGATAATGATATGTTACGTGCTAAACCCAATTGACACACTACAATTCAGATACTAGCCTGAAAATATGGATGGAGACACATACCCCCAACACATACTATTTCTAATTTAAAAATTAAAACTACAAATAGAAATGCAATCAATCACCTGTGCTATCCACTTCTTTGATAAGACAATATTCACAAATCCAGGACCAGCAACAGAACACGATTCTATCATTTCTGATGGAGGGAGATTTTTCATAATGCCCTACACAAACAAAACACACACACATTCCGTTTAAGCAATAACAAACAAAATCTAATTCCAAAATCAGTAAATAACAAGAAGGACTTAAAATAAATCACACACGGAAGGGGGGAAATTAAGAAAATTATCTCTGATTATACCTCTCCAAGTGAACGGGGATTCTTGAATTCCGTTTGCTTCCCTTTAATCTTAGCAAAAAGACTCATTGCGTTGTTACTGCATCCACAATTGTTTTTAAAAAAAAGCTTTAAATAACAAATAAGCGTCTATTGCAATTTAAGGTGTGAACTGTGAATAAACACTAGGCAGCTGTCCAAAAAACCAGCTTAATTAAGGGCTTATGGTTTATAGTAGAAGTGCTTGTCTCACAAAAGATAATATTATTTCATATAAATAGTAAGTAGTTTGTTTCCATAACTTCTATCAAATAGTCTCACCAGCTCTGTAGAACCGACACCTCTGCAAAATGTTTAGTGTCTCAAACCGACATCATCACTTGTGATTCCTAATGTATTTATTTTTTAAAATCATTATCAGTCTCGACGTGTTTCTGGTGTCCGTGCTTATCCAAACAGACCCTAAATCCATTTGACATATCTAAACTCACCATTGATAATCAGCATGTTTTACACCATTTTTGGCAACACATGCATCAATTAAAGGCACAACATCAGGTTCACTGGGCACAGTTACTTTCAGAGATTCTGCAAACAGCTTCCCCAATTGCTTTCTGACACTGGCAGGACAATCCAGTTCCTATATCCAAACACGTAAATTAACACCATCACTTCATTACTCAAAAATAAGAACAATAAACAATAAAACAATAGAAAAATAATAAATTTAATTAATTAATCGCATTATCAGTTTGGGAATTTGTAAATCGATGAACTTACAATGAACATGGTGGAAATGGATTGTGTTTGAGTTAATAAAAACAATCACAAGAAGGAACGTTCGGTGAATCTGTGAACAGAGCAACAACAATGAAAATCAAGCAGAGAAATTGAGTAAGAGAAGAACTATGAAGTGAAGGCGAAAACGGCGCTCACCTTAAGAACCCTAATTTAATTGTTATACCGCTGTTTTTTTGCAAAATCGACTTCTTACAAACTTTGAACTGAATCGATAAATAATAGATTTGTTTGGATTGAATTGATTGGATAGATAAAAAATATAAAATATTTAAAAATGATAATTTATTTATGGAAATTAATTTTCATAATAATATAAAAAATATTATTTAATCGCAAATATTATACTAATTTTTCTCTAATAAGTTCTAAAATATCTAATAAGAAAAATATATAAATTAAAACTTTTAAATTTATAATTAATCACTTAAATTAGTATGATAATAAATGTGTTTTTTAAAATTAAAGGGTGTGTTTGTTTCAAGTTTACAGTACATATTTCTGGGAATATATGATTATCGGAATGAAATATTCTCATGTTTGATTTAAGCTTTACAAAATTATTTCAAATAATTTTTTATTTCAAAAAATATTATTTACACATAGTTTTTTTATTCTTATTCCGAGGCATAAAGGATGGGAATTCAAGATTCTCATAGGAATAAGCTTAATTACCTATAACTTCTCACTTCTACTCATTATATTTATTTTTATAATTTTTAAATTAAATTAATTTGTAAACATTCCTAGGAATTTTAAATTTTATCCAAACATATAAGTGGGAATATTATTCCTAGAAACAATAATCCCGAGAATATAATTCCAAGGAATGTAATTTTATAACTTGAAACAAACACACTGAAGGTTTTTTCTTCTTGAACTTGAATGATTGGTAGTAATTTTCATAATAACAAATTATGATTAGTTTTGGTTGGATTTACGGGTAAAATTTTGAAAATCTGATGCTCAAATCAATTGTTATTGAATTTTATTAATTTGATTTGGTTCTTTCTCGAACTGAAAAAAAATATTCAATCTAAATATTATAATTTAATTCGGATTTCAATTTGGTTCGGCCCAAATCAATGAACACTCGTAATTTTCTCAACTTTGATAAAGTTTTTAATGGTGTTATTTTTTCCAATTAAGTTATTTTGACACCATAGAGGTGTCTCACACCGTATATAAATACGGTTGTGGTGTGTGTGTTTTTTTTTTCTTTTTAAATAATAATTCTTAAATAAAAAAATTTGCTGATAGGGTATCCCATTTTTTAATGTTCATATATCAGTCCTCTTTTTTTTTTTACTCTATTAATGATCGAAATTTAAATATAAATGAATAAATAAAATATTGAGATTAATAAATTTTATTTTACTCATAAAATAAATATACAATAATCAAAATTACATATTATTTTGAGGTCAATAATAATAATTTGAAAAGTCAAAAACAAATTAAAGATATTTATAATAGGTCAAAGGTCATTGAAAAATTAAGGCAAAATTACACTAGAAATCATTTTAGTGTGTTGAGAAGTTCGGAGCAAGGACTCGAGTTGTGGGGGTGTTCATACTCAGGAGAAAAATAAGAATATGAGCTCTAATGTCAAGCAATATCTCCGCAAGGTTGCTGATGGCCATTTCACAGCGGTTGTAAGTGTTAGGGTTATCTGGTGTGGCCCCCTATAATGAACATACAATGAAGGCTTTGGAAGCTAAGCACTCGTACATACCACCTCCCTCCATGCTGACTACCTTATTCTCATAATCTCCCCTAGTGACTGATGTAGATACTATTTTCAAGTGTATTAAATTATTTCTCAAGAGAAGGTCATGTGATAGAGATAGTTTGCGTGCTCAACATATTTTAGATGCACTGTGTGGAGAAGTTTCTATTGTGGCGAAAGATCTTTTACACACAATCACTCTAGTTATTAACTTATGGCTAGGAGGAAGATATCCAATGAGTTTTGCGGAGTTTGTTGCCTCTGCATCATTGACACTGTTATTAAAGCCTGATGGTGGGATGTGACCAATTGTTATGGGTTCTATTTGGAGGCGGATAGTATTTAAGGTTGTTATGAAAGGGGTCAGTAAAGATATGGTGTGATACCTTAATGACTTTCAGTTTAGGGTTGGGGTATCAGGTGGTGTTGAGGACATTTTGCATAGTCCTAACAGGGTGTTAGACAGTTCCTTGGCTATGCTCATTGTAGATTTCTCGATTGCTTTCAACACGGTAGATCGACCAGCCTTATTGTGCAAGCTGAGAGTGGGATGCCCATATATTTCTTTGTGAGTTGAGTTTCTTTATGGCCAAGCAGCAAGGTTATACCTTAGGGATAGACATATTATGTCAGCCACCGGAGTGCAACAAGATGACTCGTTAGGGTCGTTTCTTTTTGCTCTTGTATTACACTCACGCATTCATCAGGTTATGGACAATTGTAAGATTCTTCTTCATGTATGGTATCTTGATGATGGGACTATTATAAGGGATTTGCAGGAGGTGGTTAAAGCCCTTGATATCATTTGAGAGACATGTCCAGAATTAGGTATTAAATTGAATATTTGTAAGACTGAGATCTTTTGGCCTTCATGTGATGGTAGTAAACTTTGTGAGGATATGTTCCCATCAAAAATTGGAAGGCCGTTGTTAGGGATGAAGTTGCTTGGAGGGGTTGTTAGTCGGATGAGGGTTTCATTAAGGAGTTGCCCAAGAAGAGAGCTTCTAGTTCTATTTATTTAATGCACCTTCTACCACAACTATAGGATCCTCAGAGTGAGCTTCTTCTACTTTGATTCTGTATGGGTACTGCCAAATCTTTTTTTGGCCTAAGAACGTGTCAACCTACTCATATGGAGGAAGCAGCTGTTTGGTTTGATAAAGAGTTACGGAAGGCGGTTGAAGACATTATGGTTGGTGAAGATCATTTCTTCAGGGACCTTCAATGGAGGATGGCTTCATTACCCATTAGAGTTAGAAGGGAGGGTTGGGTTTATACTTGGCTAGAGGCTTCTCATACGCCTTTCTGGCTTCTAGGGCCCAATCTTGGGTGTTGCAATATCATATATTGAGACACGGTGGGGTGTATGGTATGAACTCGGATTTCGACAGAGCTTTGGATGGTCTTAGTATTGTGATTCCAGATTTTAACCTTAGCAATTTTACTAGTAAGGACATCGTCCCTCCTAAAGCACAACATATTTTGGCGCGGGCCCTTTTTAGTAAAATTGTTAAGTACATAGATGTGAAGTTTGACATGACTATGAGGCAGAAGACAATTTTTGGTTGTTTGCAAGTTGCACATGCTTAGGACTTGTTCCTTGATATTCCTATTGATGAGCTAGGCCAACATATGTCACTGGCGGGGTATCATACTATCCTAAGATACCGCTTTATGATTCCTTTATTTCCTATTGATGAGATTTTCTATGTTTGTCGTAAGGCGTGTTTGGATACATTTGGGGAATATGTGATTCATTATAGGGAGCTTCCAGGATTCAAATACCGACATGACCTTGTTAGGAATGTCTTGTTTGATATATTGCGACGTGCTGAAGTATCTGTGAAGAAAGAGGTGTCTGAATTTTTTTACTGACCCACTTGAGGAGAGATCGACACTTAGGTCAGTAGGTGTTTTGGTGTACGAGTAGATATAAGGGAAACATGTTTGTCTGGACTTGACGAGAGTTTCTCCACTTGTGAGTTTGAAGGATGGTGGTTTTACTGTGGGACATGCAGCTCTCAAAGCTGCTTCCAGTAAAGTGGTCAAATATGAGAAAACATATTTTGATAATCAACATGTTTTTATACCATTTGCCTTTGACACTTTCAGTTTCCTATCACCAGAAGCAGTTGATCTTTTATAGAGATTTCAAAGGCTTATGAATAGAAATGTTGTATCTCTTAGATCTATGGATATAGTTTTTAAGATGATTGGTTTTGCGATCCAAAAAGGAGCAGCGGTGCAACTTGTTGCCCGTTTGCCTTCTATTTTTGTATTGACCTATTTTTTTATGATAAATATATAGATTTTTTTAACAGGTTGATCCTTTGAGTTTTTTTTAATAATTTAGTCTTTTAAGTTAAAAAACGTGTGCACCGTTATCTTTTTTAACATAGTGAATATGCTAATTATGGATGTATTTATTTTGAGTGATATGAAATTGATGAAGTGCAACGAAAAATATAATAGTCACACATTTCTAAATATTCAAAATGTGAAAAAATGATATAAAAATTACCTTAATTCACCAAGTTGTTACAAAAAATACTAACTAACATATTATAAAAAAATAATTTAAAAGATCTCTAGTGTAATTTTGTCAAACATTAACGAACTAAAATCTTAATTTTTAGCATGAATATTTATTGATATTCACTCTTATCGATTAGGCGGTCTCTAAGGTGACTCGTTTAATCAAATATTCACAGGCCGTTTGTGAAGTAGATTTAAAGAATGTTGATAATTGTTTAAATTAAGTGGCATTTTATAGGACAATTTTATATGAAATCATAAAATATAAAAAATAATAAAGTGTATGTTTTGATTGATGACATGTGATGAAACGAAATGAGATGAAGTGACAAATAATGTGATTTTTTTGTTGTTTAAATTTGCAAATAATTTATGGAATAAAGTGGAACATGATAAAATATATTTCATCTAATCCCCCCTTTTTTTTTACTTCATTTTATTCGAGGTATATGAAATATAGTGAAACATTACTGATAAAATACTCAAACAATGGAATGAAGCTTATATTTCATGTTCAACTCCATTTCATTTAGTTATGTTTCATTCTGCTCTCTTCGTTATGCTCCATAAGTCCAAACATACATGAAATCTAATCCTCATTTGTGTTTTTTTAGGTAAAAGTATATAGAATGATCAGGATTGAAATTCAACTCATTTAAAAATTACAAACAACTCATTAGGCAAAGACAAAAATGACCTAGTGAGCAAATGACATATGGTTAAAGAA